GTTTGGGGAAGCTTGTCCCTTTCGTTCCTTAGTTTTTCCTTAGCATAATTTTGTTTTTTATTCTTTCTTTCTCGTACTTGCCCATTTGTCCCGTAGGCTGCAACCTTGGGAGCCCAGGGCGTGGCCCGCAAGGCTCAGCTGCTCGTAACCATAGGTGAAGGCGGGGTGCGATCGGTCGGAATGTTTTAAAGCAAAGCTACGTAAGGCAAATTAAAGTAACGAACTACCCTTTTGATCGGGTAGGAAGGAATTTCACCATATGATAGTAAACAAAACAGAGAGGTAGTAGTGCATCCTCGTGGAGCCCCCCGAGCGACCCAGGCCAAAAAGTGTTCGGGTCGGGGTGCTCTTATCAGAGCAAACGCTAAGTAAATAATGGTAAGACTGAATTTTAGGGGAAGAAAAACGACATAGCTGTTCCAAGCATTCGGTGAGAATGTCGTTGTTGTTGTCCTTCAGTCGGTAGGCGTCCGGTCGGATCACTTCAACCTTCAGTCGTCCGGATCCTTGCTCGCTATGCCCCCTTTCTCGGTCGTTGCTTCTTCGCCTTTTTCTTCCTTTGGCCCGCCGGCCTACCGCAGAAGGCGCTTGAGGAGCTGGCAGTCCTTATAGAGGTGTTTGACGGGGTAGTCGTGGTTGGTGCACAGGCTCGCCATGAGCTCGTGGAAATGGCCCGGAGGGTCCTGCTGGGGCTGCGTGCCCGTGTGATCAGCCATGGCGACCAACGCGGAGTTGGTCGGTCGGCGGCGATCTTTTCTGTTCTTTTTCCCCCTCTGCGTGGAGGGGCCCTCGTCATGATCCTGGCGCTTGGCCTTGCCTTTGCCCCGGCCTCCGTTGGAGCGCGGCGGGAGCGACGCTTGCTGGAGGTGTTGGACAAAGGTCCGTGGTCCCGGGGCCATCAGGGCTGGGACTCCGGTCACTGCTGCATGTGTCTTGGTTTAGCCCGAGCCGCGCATATACAGGCGGTCGGTGCGGAGCGGTCGTCAAGTCAAGACGAGGTGCCAATGCGGCCTCCTGTGCCACGCTCGGCGGTTGTAGGGGTGATCGGGTGGAGCAACCCATCTGATGCGTCCCCATTCCCCTGGTGGGGAGTGAGGCCGTGAGTCAGCGTCGCGATACGGAGCTCTCCGCTTATTGAACTATGGTGGTCTCCACTAGTGCCTGGAGGTTCTGGTGGATCGCCTATTCATGAGGGTCGTTCGGCTCGGACAGGCCGCGTAGAAGCATTGCCGCAGCGGCGATGTTCTGATTGGCCTAAGCGAGCTATGGGGGATCGTCCCCCCTGTCCATGGTGTTGCGTTGGACCCGACGGGCGTGACCCCGGGCGCCGCTCGCCGGTTTATGCGCATGGGGCGTAGTGTGGTGCGCCGAGCACGCTGGCGTAGTCGATGGCTGGTGCAGCCACTGTTGTCGTAGTGCCTCGCCGTGCTCCCGTGTGAGCTCAGGGGTCTCTGCACGAGGATCCGAAGCGGCGTGTGTCTGCAAGGACTCCGTTTCCACCGGTGGCTGTTCTGGAGCGTCCGCCATAACGCACTCTCGGGACGGTCGGTGGCTAGGCGCCACATCGCCGATGCTGGAGCCATCACTCTCAACATCGTCATCCATGAGGTTGAAGAAATAGGTGGGAGCATAGCTCGCCATCCCCACGAATTCGGACGTGAGAGGGGGCGGCTCCGGCATCCTTCGAAGCCCTTCGGGCGTACGCGTCCGCGGGAGACGCGATGCCATAGGGGAACCGGTCGTACGGCCGTCGCGATGGAGACAACGGGATCCCTTTGGATAATTGGCAGGAGATAGAGAATAGTAAGCAGATAACAACATGTACATTACTCACAGTGGGGTTTGAGCAGAGAGTTTGCTCGGGATGAAGCGTAGATGCCGCGTCGTTGAAGTTGTCGGGCCTCCCGGAGCCGACGGAGGGCGCCCCTCCGACGGGCGCGGGAACGAGTGCCTCCTCGTGGAGGCGTAGTACACTGAGCCGGTTGACGACGAAGTCCAGGCTTCCGAGGAGGAAGGCTTGGGATGGCTCGAAGACGGGTGGAGCCCACATCCCAACAGGTGGGAGTGCGGGAAACTCCAGTGAGCCGAAGCGAATCGTATCGCCTGAGCCCGCCATGGCGAAGGTGGCGGAAAAGTGGGCCATTCGATGACCAAAAAGTGTTGAACGTACAACGTCTTCCCCACGGACGGCGCCAACTGTCGGTGCAGAAAGTGACCAACAAGTGAATATTTATAGTTTTGTCGTACGTTGTGATCGGAGGTGGCCTAGCACTCAATGACACAGGGTTTATACTGGTTCAGGCAACGTGCCCTACGTCCAGTTTGAGTCGGTCGGTGACTTTATTCCTGAGCCCAGGTGCTCGAAGTTTGCAGTGGGGTTACAAATGAGAAGGAGAAAGATGGGGGTGCAAGAGGTCCGACCGGGCTCCAGTCGGAAGGGCCGAGAGTGGCAGGAGCTCCGTTATGAGCTAAGTGTTCAAGCGTGTGCTTGAGGTTCGAACCTGGCGGTTTTGTGGTTGTGAACTAGTGAACTTGGTCGATCTAATGAATCTGGAATCACTTGAACCCCCTTGTTGGGAGAGAGCGCATCCCCTTTTATAGATGAAGGGGATGGTCTTACAAGTGAGAGGGAAGGAGTATGTTTGCTTCTAAGCCTTGTTGCCCATGCTGGCGGATACAAGATGATGGTAGGCGCCCACAACACTGTTGGATGTTAGATGCACATGGGAGGTTACGTCGTCTTGTTTGGGCAGGGTAGATGTCGGTACCTGCATATACTGTTGATGCCCAGAGGCATGTGAGGAGTTTCACCATGTTCATTCGGTATGGTAAATCTCGGCGCCCTCAACACTGTCGATGCCCAGAGGCATGTGGGGGGGCCTTACCGTATGGGAGTTAATGGCGCCCACAATACTGTAGGTAAAATATCGGCGCCTACAACACTGTTCGTGTCAGGGCGGTTGCGGAGTACTGTTCCTGTGGGTGTACAGGGTACGGTCCCTGGTATCGTGGTTTGACTTGTGCGCCTTGCCTTGCTTTTCTCCGTTCGTTCTCTGGTCCTTTCCGGGCGGGCGTCCCCGGTCGGTTGGTCCCAGTCGGCTCTGGTTGCGCCAGTCGGAGAAGAGCAGTAAGCAGGGTCTTTGCATACCCTGGTCGGAGACGTGGGGTCAGAGTCGGAGGTAGTGCTTTGCCAGGCCTTCCGGTCGGAGAGACCGTCCGGAGGCAGCTGGAGACCGAAGTGAGCGCTCCGGTCGGAGAGGTGGGCCAGAGTCGACAAATGGGCGCTGCTCCTCCTCGGCCAGACCTTCCGATCGGTGATTGGATCGCCCTTCTGGCCTGTTGTTTAGACTCTTGGGCCGGCCCATGAGTTGCGCGCTGTCTGCTTGGGCCGAGCCTTCGCGGGAAAGCCGGTCCGCAAGGGACCCCGGGTTTACGAACCCAACAAATGATATTTTTGTCAAGGATTCATATTGTTCCATTCTATCCTTTGTTTATTATTTTTCCTGTTGTTATACATAATAGTTAGGGAGTAGCGTAAACTTAAGTGCCAAGCTGGATTAGTTTGGAGCCCAGTTACTTTGGAGGTGTGCTTACTGGCTATTGCATTCCGTAGTTAGCATTACATTGATACTGCACTGGATTCTCATGTGAGGTTCTCTAATTTAATCTTTTATTACTTAAAATAGGTTTTCTAACCATACTGTGAGGTACAGAACTGAAGCTATCCTTCATCCAAGTTCCAATTACTGGCCATCTAATTTATCTATGTCTGAGTTGTAATTTTTTTCCTCGCCTGCAGGAACCGGCGTTGCTCTTGCTGGAGTTTTCCTGTATTCTCAGTTCAAAAAGTTAAAACCAAAGACTAAGGCTGCATGAAGACAACCACCTGATCAGGTAAAAAACTATAAAAGGATTGAGAATTTGGAACTATGAACTGATGTGGTGAAGCAGACTTGCCTTCATGGTAGCAAACACCGGTCCTTTCCCCATGTTTATCTTTAAAAAATGGCATGTTCTCTTGTCAGCTTCTTTGGCTGTGAGAAGCTTGTACATATTGGTTAGCCCTTTCTCTCTGTTTTCATGCTTGCTTTTTGACAGCAAAAAAGCAGAGGACACCTAGGTACATCAAGGTTGATCTCCAGCAGGATAGGTTTGATCCAAAGTCCAACTGAATTAATAACCAATTACAGAATCAAGTTAGATAAAACGTTTTTGTTCAACCTTAGAAATGAGATACCTTCCTGTTTTACTCTTTGATACCGCCGGAGCCTGACAGGTGGATCGGAGTTGCAATGCAGTAGAGACTACCATTGACAGGAATGCATTGTGAGAGGTGGGTGTCCAAATGAACAGCAAGTGGGGATTGGTGAATGTTGGCTATCGATCATCAAATGCTCTCCGTGGGCTATAGCTGGGGGTAGGTGAGGCGATTGTGATTTCTTTTTTCTTGTGATGGCAACTGCATCTGGGTTTTGTGAAGCTTTGATCATGCAAGTTTACTTAGTCAAGGACTCAAGGTAGATAACTGGAATAGAGATGATGGACGATTAACTCATAATAGTTCATTGGGTCAGTTATATGATTCTTTCTCTCTCTTGAATAAATATATTGTCCGTCTCACCCTGCTAATGCTAAGCTTCCACAGTAACTTATTGTTAATAAGGCAAGCATATATATCATGGGAAATTAATATGAAATGACAATGGAAATTTGAATTAGCAAGAGTTGGTCAGTGACCACTATATAAATACTAGCTCAAAGTACAAATTTGTTTCTACCAAATTGATGTCCACCAGAAACTAATTTCCAATCATTTGTGAAGATTTAGGGCCGACTAAACTCCAAAAATGTTGAATTTAATTGTTAGAGTATTAGTATGAAATGGAGTATGGCATGCCATAATGTGTTAAAGATACATATTGTGGTTGTTTTATTTACACTATTAACTATCACCCAGCAGGGGCAGCAGGGTGCCGGTCACACCCAACACGACAACGTCCATGTCCTCCTCGTCCAGTGAGGCGGCGGGCAGTGCTGCCGGAGGAGGACGAAGCTTTGGTGCTGGGGAGGACTCGCCGCATGGGAGGTGCAAGAAGGAGGAAGGGGATGGGGAGAAGAGCAAGGCGCTCGACAAGGGGGAGGAAGACGTTGACAAGGGCAAGAAAGAGTGAGTAGCATGACGTGGAATTCTTCTTGAGATTGTACTAGCTACGTCGACCAAATCCTGTGGTATTTCCTTTTTTTTCAACTTCTTGATAGATGTTTCTGCTAATCATCAATTTTACTTATGACAAACATGGCAATATTGTGATAGCATTTACCATTTGAAGGATTCCTTTTTTTTTCTTCTTTGAAAAAAATGAAATTAGTGGACAGTAGGCACTAATACTTTGCTGCAAATAAGCTCCCAGTTATGATTTGGCATGCCTTTTCTTTTAAAACATTGATACTAATATGTGGAAAAATATGAGTTTCTTTTGAATACAAGAAAAATCCACGCTTTCTTAGATCTCTTTGCTTCGTATATTCTGTGGTAGATCACATTAGTTGAAAACTGAATACTTTTGAAGGCATAAATACTCTATTGGTTGCGGTAAAGTGATATTTATACGGTGAGTATAACATACATTGTTTTAAGGTTTTGTGAGAGATTTTTATAGACAGCCAGAATTACCCATGTGACAATATATATATATATATATATATATATATATATATATATATATATATATATATATATATATATATATATATATATATATATATATATATACTCGAACATGTGTACAGGATGGCACGAAGATGCGGCGGAACTTATTCGTAGATTTATTGGCGCACGAAAGAAAAAGAATATAAAAGATTTCTTCCTGTCGATATAAAACATTATTTTAGTCGCATCATGGAAATGTCTATAAAGTAGAGTCCGTGAGCCTGCGACGTCGCGCTCTCCGTGACTGTTAATTTCACAAACTTTGCCTTTTGGATTAAATACCACTTTAACATTGGTATTTAATTTCACACTATCTTATCGTGCGATTTACATGTTTTTATTATAAAAGTTTAGCCGTCCCGTAGCTAACGCACGGGCACGAACCTAGTATACGTGATAAGCGCCGGATTCACCCCTGCTTCTCCTCTTAAAATATGACATCTTTGATCTTCTTTACAATATTATTAAAGTACGGTATTTTTTTTCATGCATCCATATATTTTCGTCTATCAACTATCTGAGTGCACTTCTCTGTCACTCCTCACCGTCCTTGCTTTTATGAACTCCTTCCTTTAGGCACGACGTGATTAGGTAACCGTGTTGTGCCATGCTGCCCGTCAACTCATCAAGACCTAGGTACTGCACGTGGCAACCTTAACCATGGCCATGCCAGCACAATTGTCCGACACGCCTATAGCAAGCCTAATCAGCCACATAAATCATTGATAAAATCACAAGTGCGTCCATAGGTCGATAGATCTTAAAGTTCACAATTCCCAAATCACACTTACAACGTACTAAACATTCATAGCCACAAATCATTCACAATCATCCTCCATGTTCAAGAATTTTGTTGTAGTGGGGCAGGGGACCAGAGACCTCGGGCCTGTTTGGCTGGTTACCTCAGCCTGCCACACTACAGTTATGGCCGCGCCGGAGGTTCGGGGACAAAATAGTTCGCAAGATTTTTGGTGTGAAAATCTGATGCAAGAGACTACAAACAAGCTTGAGCAATTGTGGCACGCCAAAGCTATGGTTATGAACCAAACGCCAGCCCGATTGAGTCAACGCACCAGACTTTAGGTGTGGTAAGTTCTGACTACGTACCATACATACCCTTCGTCTCGCCAAACACTGGATCTTGGTCCGTAGAGGATGAATTCGTTGTTGGCACATATATCACATCGAGCATGAGAAGTCGTTGCATGTCCATCATGGGATCAATTAGGGTGAGCACGAAGAGGTTCGGAGGAGTCACGTGGAGAGAAATTAGAGAGCGAGTGTGTGGGTTATAACCCTGGATACCCACGGCCATGGACATGGGCCGCACCATCAGGGATAGTCCAGCCCACGACATCAAGACTTGCGGCTCACGGCACTGCTCGGCTACACCGCAAGGTATCTAGAAGATCTGATCGGATACTACAGATATTGTAATCTAAATAAAATACTTACCATGTAACCGCCTATGATACTTTCCTTATAACCCTACCCCTCCAGAGTATATAAGGAGGGGCATGGGTCCCCTAGTCGACATCCCACATCTCATCTCGTATTCCAGCAATACAAACCAACAAAGCACAGGACGTAGGGTTTTATGTCACATTGACGGCCTGAACCTGTATAAATCTTGTGTCTCGTGTCTCTGTTACCATCTAGTTCCTGATCACGCGCACCTCTATTAATCAATCTATCATCGTGAGCATACCCCTCGGTGGACTGCCGAGCATCTTTAGGTGACAGTTGACGCGCCAGGTAGAAGTGTGCATGTTGATACCCTGGCCAACCAGATGGCGTACCTCAAGATCAACGTCATGTTCTCGGCAAGATCGACTCTCGATTTTGTGCCGGAATTTCTTCGTCATCGTCGTCCACGACAATTCAACATGACGACGGCGCCCCGCCAGCAGCTTGCTACGGGTGTCTCGAAGTAATCCGCGGCAGTATGTCATCGTGCGTGGAAGAGTTTATTTATTAATCTGCAATCGCCGGCGTTTAGCAATATCATCCCATGCTCCGGGTTCGTCTGGATCTCAACGGCAAAAAGCAAGTCGGCTGGACCCGCGACTTCATCTGCAGCAGCGTTTTAGATCTGGTCCTACACCTCAATGAGATCGGTGTTTCGACGAATACAAAGTCCAAGCTTCAGCCACTGCATGCATCAACGCCGAAGATTTAAACATAGCATTATGTCATCACGTGATGATATATCTACACCGCCATGCAAAGCTTCCGTCGGACATGCAAGCAAGCAAATTATGGATGGTCTACATCATCGTGACGTGAAGAAGATGCCAAGCAAGAAAGCTAATTAAGGAAATAATAAAGATATTGATGATCATGCACGTACGGCAGGCATGCAAGGCATAGTTTTTCCATGCTTGCTTATGCTTCCCTGTTTCGTCAAATCCAATCTCCAAATACGCTGGATCAACGCTTGAAGGAAAAGCAGTTCCGAGTCCAAGTCCAACAGACACGTAACCTGCACCGACTCCGGTTGAAGCACCACATGCAAATAAAAAAGGAAGATCTTGGTCCGTGCTTCGCCTCGGTCGGACACGCCTGAGGGCTATGCCTCCCATGCATTGGATTCCGTCCGACTGCATCAAGCGAGCCGCCAAACAAGCCCAAGCGAGCCGCCCGAGCCATCAAGCAAGCCCTGCCGCGTCGCAATGATGATCGCCACAAAGAACGGCGTTATGACAACCGCGACCGCCGCCATGACGACAGGCCGGAAAGCTCGAGGACCGGGCAATTTCGTCGACGCCGATCAGATAACGCCATACGTCGCCGACCAAACGTTCATGTATAAAGCTAAGTACCCTTCATATATCTGTATTTAATACAATCTCCTCGCCATGTTTCTCCAATTATTATTTCTCTGGTCATTCTCTATGTTTAATATCTTTAAGATACTTCGATCGTTCTCCATGTGCAATATCTTAAAGATATTCTCCAGTCGACTCGTCGGCCAGCCACGTTCTTACTCGTGCCATCCAGAAGCGGCCCTGGCCTCGACTTCGCTCCTACACGTGTATGAGACACGCTCTGTGTTATGGACAGTCAGCAGTGGCTTCTTGGCGACGCTCTCTCTTACGCGTACACGGGTGCCGGCCACTCCGCGCTATAGAGTTTGGGCTAGTCAGGGTTGGTGACGTGATATAGAACCAACTGGAAGGGAATTACTCATATTTAGAATATGAACAGACTCCAAACAAACATAATGCTTATCGACAACGGAGTTCATACGTTTTCTTTGTACATCATGTAATACCCGTTCTACATCTTTGTTTTTCAGGGGCCCGGTTCGCTCAACAAGCTTATTTTTTACGCTCGGGGACTGGATCAGTCGGAAAGGACAAGAGGACCATCATCCGGGTGGTCGCACCACCTAGCATTCAGACTTTTCCGCCAATCAACTGGTTGGACCGCTAGGTTCATAGACTTCATCGCCGACTAGTTGGTCGGACTGTTCGGTGCTCACTTCTACTTAGCGCTCACTTCGCCGCCGACCAGTTGGTTGGATTGCTCGGGGATTGCTTCTTTGCCGACCAGCTGGTCGGATTGTTCGCCGCTTGGGCTTCATTGTCAGCTACGTTGGGGCTCGCCAGCTAAGCTAGGGACTCCTCTGTGATCAAATTCTTCGTGCAAGCGTCGCTAGCTAAGCCTGGGACTCCTCGGCGTTTGGATTCTTCATGCAAGAGTTGCCAGCTAAGCTAGGGACTCCATTGGCGGTCGGATTTTGCTATGTGCTATCAAGTTGCTCCATGCTATTCGGATTTGGGTGCTGATCTTGGGCAGCACGTCCGGGGTCTTGATACGCACATGACAAATGACGTTGGTAAGCTTTCAGACTTATTTTCTTTGACCCTGCTATAAGATTTATTTCTTTATCTTCCAGTAGACTTGGGGACTAAGTGACTACACTTCACCTGCTGGTGAATATAGTTTTTTTATTTACCCTCCTTATTGATGATAATCATTCGACCTCGCAAAAGGAGTCTAAGTGGCTACACTTCTCCTAAGAGGAAAATTTTTCAAATTTTAGTTGAGCCCCTTACATCCTTCTAGCAAGCCTTACTTGAGCAGGTTCGAGGCCTGCTGACCAGTTAAACTGATCGGCTGTCTATTTTCTCCGGTGGACTACTAGTTAAACTGGTCGGCTTCAAGCTAGACTGCTCGAATGTGATCAAGACGGCGTTGCTCAAAGGATACAAGGCGCTCGGGGACTAACTGTGGGGGGTATAACCCCGGATACCCACGGCCATGGACATGGGCCGCACCATCAGGGACGGTCCAGCCTACAACATCAAGACTTGCGGCGCACGGTACTGCTCGGCATACACCGCAAGGCATCTAAAAGATCTGATCGAATACTATAGATATTGTAATCTAAATAGAATACCTATCATATAACCGACTAGGATACTTTCCTTGTGACCCTACCCCTCCAGAGTATACAAGGAGGGGCAGGGGTCCTCTAGTCAACATCCCACATCTCATCTCGTATTCTAGCAATACAAACCAACAGAGCACATGATGTAGGGTTTTATGTCAGGCCTGAACCTATATAAATATTGTGTCTTGTGTCTCTGTTACCATCTAGTTCTTGATCACGCGCACCTCTACCAATCAATCTACCATCGTGGGCATATCTCTTAGTGGACTGCCGGGCATCTTTAGTCGACAGCGAACGGTGGTACGTTGTGCAACTTTCCAGCGATATAGAACTGTAGAGAGGAGTGGCTTCGGTGGAGACAGAGGGATAAGGGAGGTTAGGAGGACGGCAACAACAACGTACCAACGTGCGGGTATGGCCACACAAGGGATGTAGATGAGAGGTTGGGCCCTTATTAACAAGATGACATGTTATTATAATGTTATGCTCGTCCTTGCACTATGAGCTAGGGGAGTGTCCTAGACATGGCTATCGTGTCGTGTTCAAGTTGTCACCCCTCATGTCAGCCCATTGGGTAAGGCCTATTTGGCCATCAATACCATTGTCTACTCTTGACATATTGCACTAATTTCCTATAGAATGCGTTGTTAGCATGCCATTGCTTAAGAATGTTATTGACGCAACTAAGAGGTTCAACCCATACATAATGTGATGGACAAGAAAAAATGGCCACATTCTTACTAGGAGACGTGCTCACTCTACTAGCCCTTTTCCACCCTAGGACCTAGAAACATGTGAACTTTTTGTAAGGGTGTGACCCGCACAAAGTTTATCACCGTTGGGTCTAAAACCATTTTCACCCATTCTCATCAGACATCATCTGCTCTCTGCTAAATTGCTAGGGCTTAGCTCTCCCATTCTGCTTTCCATCCATCATATCAAATAAAATCAAATCCAGGTAGGGGAAGACAAACCCCTAACCCCTCTCACTCCGCCGCTATGAGTCCTCCTCCACCGCCTGTTTAAGTTTAGGAGGGCGAGGATCTAAGGAAGGGTCCTCCTTGAGTAATTGGGCTGAATAAAATTAGTATTAAAAACACACAAAAAACGTCTTGTTTTCTAGAATTGGGTTGAATCAAAACCATACTATCTAGGTTGCTTGTTTAAGTTTATTGTATTTGGAACTAAAAATGACAATTCCAATCAATTCTAATGGCAAAAAATCAAGAATCCTAAAAAAAATGGAATGGTCGCGCCTGCTGTCGTAAGGCAGTGATCAGTTGTGCACATTCACACATCCGTCACCATAACCATTGATAGTGGTTGCACCTGCTGTCATAAGGCGCTGATGCTCGCAAAGATCAAGGAGGAAGCCTATCTATGAGTACAAGAGTTTTTTTTAGGAGAATAAGTACAAGAGTTGGCCTTTGTAATCCTGGTTTCACAAATTTTAAATCTCTCTTTCTACGATTTTTTTGAGGAAATCTACGAAATTAATGAAATTGGCAGCCCGTGTTAAATAAAAAAAAGGTGGAGGCCTGCTTTCTAAGATTAGGGCTCAAGTCCGGGCCTGGATCTCCCATCATCATAGTTGGAGCAGAATTTGATGGGCCAACTTGTATTGGGCCAGCCGAATAACCAAAAGTCGGTTGAGCCCAAGTCGGTTCGTGGGTCTCCAACCTATCTTCTCGTCAGACATCATCTGCTCTCTGCCGCGAAGCGCTCTCGCTTTCGTTTTCCATCCGTCAGATCGAAACAAATCAGATACTCACTCCGCCGCTACGAGTCCTCCGCCGCCGCCGGGAGAGCGCGAGGAGGACCCTTCCTCGACCCGCCGCACGACCAAAGGTATACCTGTCTGACACTGCTCTCTCCCCCACACTGCCGCTCCTCTTCTGCTTCGATTTCCACCTCCTATTGCGCTGCGTTGCCTCGGCTCTCCAGATTAGATGGTTAGGGTTTTCAGATTCGATAATTTGTCCTGCTGATTCCGACCCACCTTCCTCCGCCGCAGCTGCCATGGCCAACCTCGGCGGCGGCGCCGAGGCGCACGCGCGGTTCAAGCAGTACGAGTACCGCGCCAACTCCAGCCTCGTCCTCACCACCGACTCCCGCCCGCGGGACACCCACGAGCCCACCGGCGAGCCCGAGACTCTCTGGGGCAGGATCGACCCCAGGTCTTTCGGTGACCGCGCCGTCCAGAACAAGCCGCCCGAGCTCGAGGAGAAGCTCTCCAAGTCGCGCACCAAGAAGTCTAAGCGCGACGCTGCCGCCGCGGTCGACCCCGACCTCCCCCGTCGCGACGCCAAGCGCAGGCGCCGCGCCGCTTCCGCCCAGGAGGTCTCCGTCCTCTCCCTCACCGACGACGCCGTCTACAAGCCCCAGACCAAGGAGACGCGCGCCGCCTACGAGGCCTTGCTGAGTCTCATCCAGCAGCAGCTCGGCGGCCAACCCCTTGACGTCCTCGCCGGGGCTGCTGACGAGGTGCTCGCCACGCTCAAGAATGACAAGGTCAAGAACCCTGATAAGAAGAAGGACATTGAGCAGCTGCTCAACCCTATCTCCAGCCAGCTCTTTGACCAGCTTGTCTCCATCGGCAAGATCATCACCGACTTTCATGATGCGGCGGCCGGTGATGCTGCCGGTGCGCCTTCTGCCGACGGCATGGACACCACCCTGGATGATGATGTTGGTGTTGCTGTCGAGTTTGAAGAAGATGAAGACGAGGAGAGTGATTTTGATCAGGTACACCTTTATTCATATGTTTAACTGACTACTTGGCTTTGACCCCGACATTACTTGCTTACCACCGTATGTTTGTGTTTGTGCCTACCAGGTGCAAGATGAGCTGGATGAGGATGACGAAGATGACATGGCTGAGTTGAATGGTCCTGGAGGTATGCAGATGAGCGGTGAGTTAGACGATGATGACATGCAGAACGCCAACCAGGGGCTGGCTGTCAATGTTCAGGACATCGATGCTTACTGGCTCCAGAGGAAGATATCCCAGGCATATGGGGATGGGGACATTGATGCCCAGCAGAGCCAGAAGCTTGCCGAGGATATCTTGAAGATCATTGCTGAGGGCGACGACAGAGACGTCGAGAATCGCCTTGTCATGCTCTTGGACTATGAGAAGTTTGATCTCATTAAGTTGCTGCTGCGCAACCGTCTCAAGATTGTTTGGTGCACCCGCTTAGCCAGGGCTGAAGATCAGGAACAGAGGAAGAAGATAGAGGAAGAGATGGCAAGTGACCCAAGCTTGGCTCCAATATTGGAGCAGCTACATGCAACCAGAGCATCTGCAAAGGAGAGGCAGAAGAACCTGGAGAAAAGCATCAGGGATGAGGCTAAGAGGCTCCTCAACAATGATGCTGCTGCTGGCGCTGATGGTGCCAGGGACCGCAGGGCAGCCGAGCGGGACATGGAGAGTGGATGGCTGAAAGGACAGAGACAGCTGCTTGATCTCGAAAGCCTCTCGTTCCATCAGGGTGGTCTCTTTATGGCTAACAAGAAATGTGAACTTCCGACTGGATCGTTTAGAACCCCTCATAAGGGATATGAGGAGGTTCATGTGCCAGCACTGAAGGCTAAGCCCTATGAAACAGGGGAGAAGATTGTCAAGATATCTGATATGCCAGAGTTTGCACGGTCAGCTTTCGATGGGATGACCCAGCTGAACAGAGTTCAGAGCAGGGTCTATGATACTGCTCTTTTCAAACCAGACAATATCCTTCTCTGTGCTCCGACTGGTGCTGGCAAAACAAATGTGGCCGTGCTTACCATCCTTCAGCAGATCGGTCTGCATATGCAGGATGATGGAGTGTTTGATAATACCAAGTACAAAATTGTCTATGTGGCCCCGATGAAAGCGTTGGTTGCTGAAGTCGTTGGAAACTTGTCGAAGCGTTTGGCAGGTTACAATGTTACTGTTAGGGAGCTCAGTGGAGACCAGAACTTGACCAAGCAACAGATTGATGAAACACAGATTATTGTCACGACACCTGAGAAATGGGATATTGTGACCAGGAAATCAGGGGACAGAACCTATACCCAAATGGTGAAGCTGTTAATCATTGATGAGATCCATCTGCTACATGATAACAGAGGGCCTGTTCTGGAGAGCATTGTTGCTAGGACAGTCAGGCAGATTGAGACGACCAAGGAGCATATTCGTCTGGTTGGGCTCTCTGCGACTCTACCAAACTATGAAGATGTTGCATTATTCTTGCGCGTTCGCAAAGAAAGCCTCTTCTATTTTGACAACAGTTACCGACCTTGCCCTCTTGCTCAGCAATACATTGGGATCACTGTGAGGAAGCCACTACAGAGGATGCAGTTGATGAATGAGATTTGTTATGAGAAGGTTATGGCTGCCGCTGGTAAGCATCAAGTGCTTATATTTGTACACTCAAGGAAGGAGACGGCAAAGACTGCCAAAGCCATCAGAGATACGGCGTTGGCAAATGACACAGTCAGCCGCTTTCTGAAGAACGAGAGTGCAAGCCAAGAGATCCTTGGCACTCATGCTGAACTTGTCAAAAACAATGACCTTAAAGACCTTTTGCCTTATGGGTTTGCTATTCATCATGCTGGGATGGCAAGGGTTGACCGTGAGCTTGTTGAGGAACTTTTTGCTGACAAGCACATTCAAGTACTTGTATCCACTGCTACCCTTGCATGGGGTGTCAATTTGCCTGCACATACTGTTATCATAAAGGGTACGCAGATTTACAACCCAGAAAAAGGTGCTTGGACAGAACTAAGCCCTCTGGATGTCATGCAGATGCTTGGTCGTGCAGGAAGGCCTCAGTATGATACACATGGAGAGGGAATAATCTTGACTGGCCACAGTGAATTGCAGTTCTACCTGTCTCTTATGAACCAGCAGCTGCCTATTGAGAGTCAGTTCATATCCAAATTGGCTGATCAATTGAATGCAGAGATTGTTCTGGGGACTATTCAGAATGCTCGTGAAGCATGCTCGTGGCTTGGCTATACTTACCTCTACATTCGGATGCTCCGCAATCCAACATTGTATGGTCTGCCAGCAGATATCTTGGAGAGTGATAAAACGCTTGATGAAAGGAGAGCTGATTTGGTAAGTGAATTGCAGTTTTTAAAGTTCTGTGGTAGTTTGCTCGTCCTTATACTGTTTTATTTCTCAATATTGTTTTGGTCCTTGCCTGTGTTAATGTGATCTAATTGCCGTAGGATCATCTTATTTCGCTAATCTATTTCAAGAGGTCACCTGCTCCATAGGTTCACAACTGCACATGCAAAATATTTCTTAACTGCTTTGTACAGTCTTGTAGTTAATAATCGTATTAACCTGCATCATTGATCAATAGCTCTCTGCAGTAGGGCATACTTAGCACTAAGAGATGTTCACTGTGTGGGGGCACAGTTTTAAATGCTATTAAAAAAACATTTACTTTCAGTGCCTAACTGCTGCTCTACTAGGGCAATTGTATACTTAGCTAATACCAGAGGTACAGTAAGCACTTGCAGTGTAGGATGGCGTCATCTTATTGTTCCTTTTCTTTTGTTGCTGCATGTGTAGTGGTTGCACTCATCTTATTACCATTACAGACTTGTATTTAGCACCCTTTCACATGCAATCGTAATGACTATGCAAGGTATATAACGAATTGCTACAGCCCCCCCCCCCCACCCACACACACACACACACACCAACCCAGGGTCGTAGGTATCCCTTGCTTGTATGTACCACCTGCACATTATGTGCGGTACTACCTCCGTCCCAAAAAAAGGTCATTCTAGGTTTCCATTAAATCAAACATTCTTAAGTTTGACTAGGTTCGTAGAAAATATTATCAGCATTTGTATCTCCAAATATGTGCATTATCAAAATATATTCCATGCTTCATCTAATGGTACCTATTACGCATCATAAATATTAGTAACTTTTTTGTATATATTTGGTCAAACCTGAGATTGTTGACTCCTCGAAAAGCGAGAATCCCATTCTTTTTGGGATGGAGGGAGTATTTCACATGTGCATATAATAATAATGTAGCGTAGGTAATGATAGACATATATTGAAATGACACTTTTTTTTTTCTCATAGGTACACATATTGAATGCATGTAATTTTGTTTTGATAGATGTTACAACTTGTTGTACAAGAATTTTGTTTCAGAAAGTATAATATCTATATCTGTATTTATGCAAACATGACTTGAAGGAAATCATACTGTGGTCCTCAAACCCATAATAATATTTTTTTTGTTAGAAGAGAAGATGTAGGTTGCTGATATAAACCCTGTTTTGCTGAAGTATTTTGCTGAATAGAAAAAGTTTTGGGCTTGCAATTATTCCATACCAGTCGTTGATTTTACTGCTCCTTGATATTGCATAGATTTTGTTGATGTTACAGCATACTATCTCTGCCTGTTCTGTTCTTGATCTTTTATAATTTTTGTTCTGCTGCAGATACATTCCGCTGCAAATCTACTGGATAGGAACAATCTGATAAAGTATGACAGGAAAACAGGATACTTTCAAGTTACTGACCTGGGAAGGATTGCCAGTTATTACTATATCAGTCATGGAACTATTTCAACATACAATGAGTACCTGAAACCTACAATGGGTGATATCGAACTGTGCCGACTGTTTTCTCTGAGTGAAGAATTTAAGTATGTAGGTGTCAGGCTTGATGAGAAAATGGAACTGGCAAAGCTTTTGGATCGTGTGCCAATACCTGTGAAAGAGAGCTTGGAGGAACCCAGTGCAAAGATCAATGTTCTGCTGCAAGCATATATTTCTAGGTTGAAACTGGAAGGCCTTTCTCTTAGTTCTGATATGGTCTACATCAGACAGGTAGCGCCATCTTTTCTCTGTCGACTATAATTTATAATTCATTTGCATGGTTTCACCTACTTACTGCTCTCTCTGAACCTGAGTTTCTTGCTTATATTGTATTGTATTGTATAGTTAATGTTTTTCCCCCTTTTGTAATGCAGAGTGCTGGCCGTCTCTTACGAGCACTATTTGAGATTGTTTTGAAGAGGGGATGGGCTCAACTAGCGGAGAAAGCGCTGAATCTTTGCAAGATGGTTGATAAACAAATGTGGAGTGTCCAAACTCCCTTGCGGCAGTTTACTGGAATTCCAAAGGAGATCTTGATGAAACTCGAGAAGAAGGAGTTGGCTTGGGAGAGGTACTACGATCTGTCCTCACAAGAAATTGGTGAACTGATCCGCTATCCCAAGATGGGGAGGCAGCTGCACAAGTGCATCCACCAGTTACCAAAGCTGAATCTTTCAGCCCATGTCCAGCCCATTACTCGTACAGTTTTGGGTTTTGAGCTGACAATTACACCTGATTTCCAGTGGGATGATAAGGTACATGGATACGTGGAGCCCTTTTGGGTTATTGTTGAGGACAATGATGGCGAGTACATTCTTCACCATGAATATTTCATGCTTAAGAAACAGTATGCTGATGAAGATCATACATTGAACTTCACAGTGCCGATATATGAGCCACTGCCTCCTCAGTATTTCATTCGTGTTGTGTCTGACAAGTGGCTTGGTTCTCAGACAATTCTCCCTGTCTGCTTTAGGCACTTAATTCTACCAGAAAAATATGCTCCACCAACTGAATTGCTTGATCTGCAGCCTCTGCCTGTTAGCGCATTGAGAAATGCAAGATATGAGGGCCTCTATAGTGCTTTTAAGCATTTCAATCCCATCCAAACTCAAGTATTCACTGTCTTGTATAACAGCGATGACAGCGTGTTGGTCGCTGCGCCAACTGGCAGCGGGAAGACGATATGTGCGGAGTTTGCTGTACTAAGGAACCACCAGAGGGCAGTGTCTGGTGAGAGCAACATGCGGGTTGTTTATATAGCTCCAATTGAAGCTCTTGCGAAAGAAAGATACAGGGACTGGGAGCGGAAATTTGGAGAGTTTGCCAAGGTAGTTGAGCTCACTGGTGAAACAGCAGCTGATTTGAAGCTTCTGGATAAAGGTGAGATCATAATCAGTACTCCTGAAAAGTGGGATGCGCTGTCTCGCCGGTGGAAACAGCGAAAGCACATCCAACAGGTCAGCTTATTCATAGTTGATGAACTTCATCTACTTGGATCTGATAAGGGACATGTTTTGGAAGTCATTGTATCTAGGATGAGGCGTATTTCCAGTCATATTGGCAGTAACATACGGATCGTAGCACTTTCAGCATCACTTGCTAATGCTAAAGATCTCGGTGAATGGATCGGTGCCACCTCTCATGGCCTTTTCAACTTCCCTCCAGCAGTGAGACCTGTGCCATTGGAAATTCACATCCAGGGTGTGGATATAGCAAACTTTGAGGCAAGGATGCAAGCAATGACAAAGCCTACCTACACTGCCATCACACAGCATGCAAAGAACAGTAAACCTGCCCTGGTGTATGTACCGACAAGGAAGCATGCAATGTTGACTGCATTGGACTTGTGTGCGTACTCTAGTGTTGAGGGTGCTGGAACACCATTTCTTCTTGGGTCAGAAGATGAGATGGATACTTTCACTAGAGGTGTTGAAGAAGAGACGCTTAAGAATACACTTAAATGTGGTGTAGGTTATTTGCATGAGGGTCTAAGTGAGCTTGATCAGGAACTTGTAACCCAGCTGTTCCTTGGTGGGAGGATCCAAGTGTGTGTTGCAAGCAGCACAATGTGTTGGGGAAAACCATTGCCTGCTCATTTGGTTGTTGTCATGGGGACTCAGTATTATGATGGCCGGGAGAATGCTCACACCGATTATCCAATTACAGATCTGCTTCAAATGATGGGTCATGCCAGCAGACCACTTCAAGATAACTCAGGGAAATGTGTTATATTGTGTCATGCACCTCGCAAAGAGTACTACAAGAAGTTCCTTTTTGAGGCCTTCCCTGTCGAGAGCAATCTTCACCATTTCTTGCATGATCACATGAATGCTGAGGTGGTGGTTGGTGTTGTAGAGAATAAGCAAGATGCTGTGGATTATCTTACTTGGACTTTCATGTATCGGCGGCTGACAAAGAATCCTAACTTCTACAATCTTCAGGGTGTAAGTCACCGGCATCTTTCAGATCATCTTTCTGAGCTAGTTGAGACTGTCCTGAATGATCTTGAATCAAGCAAGTGTGTGGCTATAGAGGAGGACATGTACCTGAAGCCCCTCAATCTTGGCCTTATTGCTTCATACTACTATATCAGCTACACAACTATTGAGCGTTTTAGTTCTATGCTGACCCAGAAGACTAAGGTGAAAGGACTCCTGGAGATTCTAGCATCTGCTTCAGAATATGCAGAGCTTCCGGGTCGTCCTGGTGAGGAAGAATTCATTGAGAGACTTGTTCGCCACCAGAGGTTCTCTATCGAGAAACCCAAGTATGGCGATCCGCATGTGAAGGCCAATGCTCTGCTGCAAGCCCATTTTTCAAGGCACACAGTGGTTGGGAACCTGGCAGCTGATCAGCGTGAGATTCTCCTTTCTGCTCATAGGTTGCTCCAGGCAATGGTTGATGTTATATCCAGCAATGGTTGGCTTAGTCTTGCTCTTAGTGCAATGGAGCTGAGTCAAATGGTGACACAAGGCATGTGGGATCGGGATTCTGTGCTGCTTCAAGTTCCACACTTCACAAAGGACTTGGCTCGGAGGTGCCAGGAAAATGAAGGGAAGCCCATCGAGAGTATCTTTGATCTTGCTGAGATGGGTGTCGATGAGATGCGGGATCTCTTACAGCTATCAAACTCTCAGCTGCAAGACATCATTGAATTTTTCAAGCGGTTCCCCAATGTTGATATGACCTATGAGGTCCGTGAGGGTGATGATATAACCGCTGGTGACAATGTAACCGTGCAGGTAACTCTGGAGCGTGACATGACTAACGTGTCATCTGAGGTTGGTCCAGTTCATGCGCCAAGGTTTCCCAAGCCTAAGGAAGAAGGCTGGTGGCTGGTGATTGGCGACAGCTCCACAAACCAGTTACTGGCAATCAAAAGAGTGGCACTCCAGAAGAGGGCGAGAGTGAAACTTGAGTTCTCCGCTCCTGCAGAGACTGGGAGAAAGGATTACATGATTTACTTGATGTCAGACTCTTACTTGGGCTGCGATCAGGAGTATGAGTTCACCGTTGATGTCAAGGATGCTGGAGGGGATTGATGATGAAGACTGTGTGACACTAGGTCGCATAGAAGCGGTAGAACTTCTAGTGTGTATTGTAACACAATATTAGTGTTTTGGAACATTCTGTGTTGTAACCTCTGAACTTGTGGAAGCTGTAGCTTATTTTGGATGTTAACTGGTGCACTTTGGGAGTTGCTGTCTTATCCTATTCTGATATTATTGTAAGGATTACGCTCGGTTATACTTGAGCCACACAGTATTTTGGATCAACTTGTTGCTTCCATAAGCTTGCTGCTGCTGTAATGTTTGATTTTAGTGACATGCAGAAAATGTTTTAACCTGTTGATGCACTAATGGTGTTGATGTTTTAACCTGTTCTATTGGCAGGATAGCCTATATGGCTCTGTTGTTTCGATCTATCCTCCTACTAAGATGGTGGATATGGTCATATGGGATGGATGCCTTCCTACCAGGTGTTTTGTCGATGCTGTGATACTCCTTTAATATTTTTGCAGTGCTGATCACCTGAATTGTCCAACAAGAACTATATAAACAATGTTTTGCTGCTTCTCAGAACAGATACCAGCGTCAAAGATTGCATACTCGAATAGCTCTAGGAAAGGTGAGGTCTTTTCCTTGAATTTTAGAAACTACTCAATTCGTTTCAAATTATAAGACGTTTTAGCTTTTCTAGATTCATAGTTTTTGCTACGCATCTAGATATACAATATGTCTATGTATCTAGAAATGCCAAAACGTCTTATAATTTGGAATGGAGTGAATAGCTTTTTAATTTCAACATAATAGAATAAGTGTGTCTCACATAAGTATTCCAAATATGATCCTAACTAGAATTGCAAAAGGCCCTTTGTATACGATTAGACATGTTTTTCAAACCAAGGAACATTCTCCATTCCCATTTGTGTTGTAGTGGAAATTTGTATATGATGAAACTAGATGCATGGAGATATTCACTAGGTGCTTACAAAGAACAACTCAAGCTAAATAATGTTTCTCTGATTTAATACTCTCAAAAAGAAACAGGCAGCGAATTATCTTAAAAGGAAATCTTGTGGGCAGAGCTTATTGGTAGAATGTGAACATGTGAATTAGTGTTGTGTCGCACCATTATCTAATATTCTCTTCATTTTCAAATTATAAGACGTTTTGGCTTTTTTAGATACATAACTTTTGCTATGTATTTAGATATACAATATGTCTAGATACATAGTAAAAACAATGTATTTACAAAAGTCAAAACATCTTATATTTTGAAACTGATGGAGTATCTTTTTAAGGTTAGCCTCTCCCGATTAACTCCTTGCAAGCTAGAAGAATGGATGTCGTCACTGGAGTGACAGCTGGTGTGAGGGGCAGCTCTTGCTGCTATATCCTGTCCTTTACATATTACAGGTATGTGGTGTGTGCAATTCGAAGCATGGTGCAGATCCTGGTTTTTTCTCGAACTGAGTTGCCACTCATCTTGAACCCTCTAGAATAAGTTGTTGGTCCTTTATGCATAAATCATGTCTAATTGGACAAATATCATTTGTTTGTTGCACTGATGCACCTGGTCTCAGATGCTCCATGTTTTCAGGGTTTCGAAGCATATGTTGGAGTTTTGCTTCTTCAGACAGATTCGCATGGCCTTGCCTCCGAATGGCAGGCAAGAATGATACAACAGTTTCACTATTGACAGTTAAATGTCAGATAGGATTAAATTGTCTAGCTGCCCTGGGTTGAATTTATTGCTGTCTGGAATTTATTGCCTTTCCCAGTATTTGAAAATCTGGGTGGTGGTGGAGGGATATGTCAAACTGTGTCTTGAAACTTGAATAGATCTTGACATGCCACTTGGCACTTGTCCAGATCTGAAATTTACACCTGATTTTAATTTTTTTACCACGTTGTAGTTTGCGGGATCTTGCTGGTGGTTATGGCAGTCGGCAACTTTGTCGGCACTGTGGAGACACTGGTATTAGAACTGAGGTTCAAAGCAAAGATGAAGAGAGCAAAGAACCGGCAGGATCGCCCCCGCATCATCGAAATTAACAAAGGCGTCATCGTGTTCCTTGAAACAAGGATGCTGACACCATCTCTTTTGTGAATCCTTTGACCTGTATCTGTATTAGCATTTTTGTTTGCTTGTAATTCTCTGTTTCGGTGATTGGTCCCACATAACACGTTGAACACACATTGACGTTGATAGTAATAGTAACCTACATAATATAAAACGACGGATGAAACAAAATTTGCTCTTTCTCAGATGAAAATTGTGAGTTTGCGATGTATCCTTCTGTCTAAAAACTTAGGGTTCTCGATCAAATAGACAATTGTAGTGGTGAAAAAAAAAAGAAAAAAAAAGACAATTGTATCCAAAGTTGTGAATATACAGCGGGGCTCCGTATAAATGGACAAGAGGCTTGTAAGGTTTGATGTTGTCACATGTACGTACTTTTTATACAGAGATTGGTCTGAGTGATTTTAGTCTTCTGCTGCAACTACAGGTGCAGACTGCAGAGTGAAAGAGGATATGGATCAACCTCAGCTTGTATTGATCTCATGAACTCATATTTATACAGTACAGGCTCGGCAACCTCCGCTGTGAAAACTGCTAGACGCGCGGTAGAGGACGCGGCGTAGCGACTGAGCGGAGGCGTGGCGTGCGCGTCTGTAACCAGACTATATATATTGACGGTAATATGATAGTATATGTGGGTAAATACGGTCGCCGCCAGCCGATCAACAAGATCGCCGCACGCCGCCGCCGCCGTCGCCCTCAGGCGCGGTAGTTCCTAGTCGTCTCTGTCCCCCCCGGTTTTTCCTTCCTACTCCTCTATTCTTTACAAAGGGGACACGATGGGCTGCCCTCGCGTCTGGGCCACACAGGGTCCGCTTTACATGGTCCAGTCCGGCCCAAAGACTCTGTTACTGGGCTTCTTCATACGCTTGCCTTTTATGTTCCTTCCCGCCGGCTCTTTAGGACTTGCATCTCTTGTCTTGCCGTCATCAGGTTCAGAGATATCAGGGGTGGTCGCCACTGTGCTGCCGGTGACATCCCTTCCTCCTTTAGAACTAGCTTGACCCCAAGCTGGTGCACGGGGAAACTGTTGCTGTAGAGATTCTTCATCTTCCCAGGTGGAGAGAGTATCAGGGAGGTAGGACCAACGCACCAGCACTTGAGGGATCACACGATCATTGTGCTGACGAAGCCGGCGGTCTAAAATTTCTTGAGGCACCTGCAACTGATTAGAAATGTCAGGTAGCTCTGAACTTACCATAGCAGCGGATGGAATGGCTTTCTTGAGTTGTGAAACATGGAACACCGGATGTATAAGACAATCTGGAGGTAGCTGCAGACGGTAAGCTGATGGACCAATCTTTTCAGTTATCATAAATGGTCCGAAGAAATGGAAAGCCAATTTGTTTGAAGATCTAGGCGCCAATGAAGTCTGCACATATGGTTTAGCTTTAAGATAGACAGAATCACCTAGTTGAAATGATCTAGGCGTGCGATGTCTGTCAGCCTGCGTTTTCATTTTGTGCTGGGCTCTGATAAGATGCTAACGGACCAGTGATTGCATTAGAGATCTTTCTTCCAACCATCCTTCAAGGTCACTGGATTTACAGGCTTGAGATATATCAATACCAAAATGCCGTGGTTCATGACCATAGAGTACCAGGAATGGACTTTGACCAAGAGAAGAATGGAATGAGGTGTTATACCAGTATTCTGCCAATGCAAGCCATTGAGACCATTTTGCAGGACAAGCATGCAGGAAACATCTTAAGTAAGTTTCAAGACATTGGTTAACACGCTCGGTCTGGCCATCCGTTTGTGGGTGATAGGCACTACTCATTCTCAAGTCTGTGCCCAATAGTTTGAACAACTCTTGCTAAATGTTGCTAGTAAAATTTTATCCCTATCTAAAACCATAACTGTAGGGAGGCCATGGAGTTTGAAAATGTTGTTCAGATAGGCTACAACTACTTGAAGAGCAGTGAAAGGGTGGGAAAGAGGAATAAAATGAGCATATTTTGAAAATTTATCTACCACCACTAAGATGCACTTGTAGCTAGCAGATTTTGGAAGACCCTCTATGAAATCAAGAGTTACAGTGTGCCAAGCATGATCAGGAATGGGTAAAGGTGCCAACAGACCTGGATAAGCCACTCTCGGCCTTAGCTTGCTGACAGATAGTACACTGGGCAACAAAGTCTTTGACAGATTGTTTAAGCTTGAACCATACAAATAGATGTTTGACTCTCTTATAAGTGACCTCATAACCAGAGTGGCCGCCAATAGCGCTGGCATGGAGAGAGGATAGGATCTTAGATTGCAAAACAGGTTGTTGACCCACCCAAATTCTTTCCTTGTAGCGAATGATGCCATCCTTCAGTGAATACAACCCACTTGGAGAAGAAATAGAGAGTTCAGATAATAGCTTAATAGCTTGAGAATCTGCTGAATAAGAATCTTGAATCTCTTGAAGCCAAAGTGGACGCACAGTGGAGATAGCAGAGATATCATAATATGGAGCCTGAGATACTCGTGAGAGAGCATCTGCTACTTTGTTATCCACACCCTTTTTGTAGACAATTTGATATGAGAGACCCATTAATTTGGTTAAGGTCTTGTGCTGGATGGGAGTGGATAGTCTCTGATCATCTAAGTGAATTAGACTTTTCTAATCAGTGAGTATGGTGAAAGAGGAAGATTGCAAATAATGACGCCAATGATCCACCGCCATTAAGATGGCCAAACAATCTGTCGGTATAGAAAGTGACCAACTAGTGAATATTTGTAGTTTTGCCATACGTTGTGATTGGAGGGGGCCTAGCACTCAATGACGCAAGATATATACTGGTTCAGGCAACGTGCCCTATGTCCAGTCTGGGTCGGTCAATGACTTTATTCCTGAGCCCAGGTGCTCGAAGTCTGTGGTGGGGTTACAAACGAGAAGGAGAAAAGAGGGGTGTACGAGAGGCCCGGTCGGGTCCGACCGGAAGGGCCGAGGGTGATCGAAACTCCGCTA